TTTAGGGTCTGTAGGGCGAGCCATTCGTTAGTCACGCCCGATGACGTGTACCTTGGACAAGACCAAAACTGTTATTAGAAAAGATTTGTCGTTACTTTCTTTTTCTCTTTAGGTAGGTACTTGTCTTTTTTTCTTCATTCAAAGTAATGGAACACAGTACATAAATATTTGGCGCCGACTTTAAAACCGGCTAAGACCTCTTTTTTATAGCATAAATACTCGAGGATGGTTAATTTAACGAAAAGTACATTCCTGCGGCGATGTTGTGCATCTTTCCTTAGTTGCACATTGCGGCAAAATGCATGAGTTTCCGGAGACAAACAAAGGCACTCGGCACGCAAAGCCTTCAGTACCGCGAAGCCCTAAAGGGTAAAAAGAAAAGGCGTTTGGTGGTAAAAAGTGAGTTAGGGCGAAGCTTTGTTTGTGTATGGCTCGAGTTAAGTGTTTAGATAAGTGCAGCTGAGAGCAGCGTGCACGTTTGTTATCTCGCGGAGAATACAGGACTCGGACAAATGGAGCCACCCTGTGTGGTCTACTATTAGCACTCACCGAGTAACGTTCAGCTCTCGAAATTAAATTATATAATTAATAATATATACGCCAGGACAGTAGTAAGTAGCTGCTTTATAACGTTTTGGTTACAAATTTTGATTTATTGATTAAAGGCAGGTCGATATTTCGGAGACCTTTATAAATAGGTTTAACAAAAAATATTTTGAATTTTTTTCGTTAATAAAAATCTAAAGGTACCCTTTTAATACATTGAGTTTTCCCTTGATAACACTCATTTATTGTGAAACGAAGCTGCTTGTCCTTCTGAATTATAAAATATTCAAATAAAGAGAGAAATAAATCTACACGAGGGAACATCCTTATTACATATTACCGCGGGAATGCTATAGGCGCCTAGTCATTACAGTTATTCATAGGAGGTTGTGTCAAAGTAAGGTGTATATTTATTCAGAAGTTACTTGTTTATTTAAAAAATGGGTCCGGTTAAAATACCCCGTTTCGATAAACGTCCGGCGAGACTCATATCCCATCTAAATAGTTTTGATGCGCGCGCGTCACTCGACCAATACCGTCCGTGTCACTGTCAGACCGTCACCGATCCAATATGTGCTGTCTCTGGAGATGATGGAATATTGAATTCTATTATTAGTCACTCGTAATTATCCAAAATGGCGTTCATTGAACTTTCTCTTCGTTGAATCACAGATGTGCGCACTCCTGAATGGAAATGGGTTATTATGCTACAAGTAAATACAATAGACAATTTACAGAATATTCCTTTCAGCCACTTAATCATAGCGTCGCCATACCGGAAAACAATTTTGAACCCACCATCTATATGCGGCATATAGATACAAACTTAATCAATATTGAAAGGAGACAATAGGCATCTCTTATTCAAAACGGAAACTATTACAGCTTCGCTATTGTATTCGGGCCTCACCTCTATGACTATATTATACAAAAAGAAAAGTGGGTTTTGTTTACAAACGTCGAGAGATAAGTATTTAAGGATGGTCGGCGACAGGAGATTATGGGAGCGCGACGATAACTCAGTCCATGCTGGGTGCCAATCGTGTCAGCGTGAACGATTTATGTCGAGCTTTGTGACAGTGTTTCGATGTGGATGAACCTGAATAATCCTTCGCGTCCGATAAAATGTCATACATAATTGATGCGCTTTGTGGTCACATCGATGAAGTATTTGAACAAAGTGACAGTTGGATCGATGATTCCGTTACATCTCTAACCTCTAACGTATACTCGATGGACGAGTTCAAATTTAATAACCCATTTCTTGATTGACGGAAAATATTTCCAGAACAATGTTTTAATTGTGTATCTATTAAATTGTATTACCTTAACTGTTGATAGCTGCTGTAAATGTGGAATCATAATGCAGTAATTATAATGAGGGTGATGCAGACGTGCAATATTGAACCATGACGTATGACATAGAGTAATTGGATCGTTTGATCGAGCCAATTAGAAACGATTGAAGTAGCAAGATTCGCTTAAATGAAATGATTGTGTCGACATTATGTATTATAGCTATAGGAAGATAATTGAACTTCCTGTGGTGGGTCACGATTGGTTTGAAGTGAGCGCCAATGTTGTGCAGTGCCCCTTTCATAGTCCACAAGAGTGTAAGCATTGCCGGCTTGATGGGGCGTTTCCTCTAATTATATGAACTATTAATAAGACACAAGTCTCCAATAAAGATGTGGTTGAAAATAGCTTACGGAGTAGATTACGTTGGATTGCGTTGCTTATATGGATCATATGGTTTTAAACAACTACATCGTACTACCTTAACGAAAATAACATAATTCTTTCGTTTCGTTTTAATTGGGCCATTTTGTGTGTAATTGGTCTCATCAATTCAATCTCGCTTCATAAATTAATTAGACGACATGGTATATATGAATCGACTGTTCAACAAAGCCAAGCTCGGAGGAAGAACGTTTGCTTTGGGTACGATCGTCTAAACGCTATTAACAAAGTTGCCGGTTTGAGTTGGAGTTTGATGGGTGAACGGTGTTTGCGTTGTCCGGAACGTATGGAAATAATTTCTTGCTACGGTGAACTTCTCGGCTCCGTTTATATGAGGTAAACATTTGCTGTCAATCTGATACTACCGTAAGCAGTTTGAGAAATGTGCCTGTATATCAAATGGTCGTAATAATATAAATTAAACAATATAGAGTTAACGAAGATATGTTACTTAAGCCATATTTAACACAGACGAAGCTGAAAATATGATGGACATTAAAAAAATATGATAAGGTTAAACTGTTCTTTTGACAGACTAGCTTAATTTTTGTAGCTTTCCAACACCATTCTTGCAAATAGAGTACATTTGTCATCAGGATTTGTAGGTATATGACATTCCAAACATGCGGCATGTTTGCTCGTGTTCGTTTTCTTTTTTGTTTTCAAAGACGTGTTTTGTCATCATTGGGTGATAAATATCAGTTGTTTTTATTTATCATTGGGGTCATCGTCGCGCAACAGTCTAGTGCGCAAGCGTTGAAGTGTTTGGTTGGGGCTGTTACCTTTATAATGGCAGTTTCCTACTTGGAGCGTGTCGATGCGCGCCTGAGCACCGAGGGGTACACTCGATACTATCTATTCCCTATTGTTGCGTGCACTTAACCGATATATAGTCGCCTTGTGTCCGAGCCTTGTTAACACATTGTATAGGAAATTACATTCCTTACACACAAATAGTGGTTTCATTATGGATCACCGCACTACCGCATATAGCGGCATATCAAATTGCCATCATTAGTCGAGTCGATGCTAAAGACAAGAAAATATTAGAACTAATATTTCTATTAGGCAAGTTATGAAATAACACAAGATATGACACTCAGAAGCTATAGCACAAATCTAAAATGTTAACGACAAACCCAGGAGAACGTATAATGGAAATTATGACGCACTTCCTTTGTACAATGGCAGGGCCATTTTGTACGGATATTGCAATATTAATAGTTGGGATTCGTTCTTGAATCTGTCGAAATTAAGTTGAGCGGCGATTGGGGTGGCGCAGATGGCAGTAACTGCGCCCCCGTTGCCCGCCGGCAGAGCGACGCTGCTAACGTGCGCCAAGCTAGTATAAAAATATGATTTATGGCAAAGCATATAGGACCGTGCATCCGTTCGCTTCTATCTAGGCCATGGGTCATTAGTACATCTCAAAACAATACCGTTAAACGCAAAACTGGGTATCATTCATACACTCTTGCGAGATGTCCGATTGAATCCCTGTGGACAACCTCTCGAATAATAGTCTTGGAATTAGTTCTGTACTTTAATAACGTTCTGTGGTCTTCGGAGGTTTGGAAGGGCTCTATGCTTCAATGTTTATGTAGCCTGCAATATGAAATAGATGTTTTCTGGCTTCAGGCTCTTTGTTATTACTTTGAGAGTGGCTACATGAGGGGTGGGTGAACGTCGTTGGGGTCGGTAAGTAAACAAGTGCCGCCGACTGATTCAACTAGTCAATTGAATTGGGTATTTTCCTCATATCTTACAGATTCATTTTGTTATACTTCCGCTTAGTGCTTTGGAAAACTTTTTGTTTGAAAGCTTCTTAATGCAAGCAACTATTTACTCGCATTGAAAAGTTTTATAATGAAATTTGTCTGATGTCGACATTTTTGACTACGGTAAACTATGATAAAACCAATCAATGTATATTGACAAAAATATTTTTTTGATAACGAATTATTTCATGTAGATATTTGACATTCAACGCACGGATATTTTAACCAACGGAATCATTAATAACTTTCTTAATTGCCTTCACGCTTTGACTCTACGTGTATATGTTCTTTGATATACAATCATTAGCTGCAGTTGGAAACAAAAAGAAGTTGACAGCTAATTTATATGCCTATATAAGAGAGCTCTAAACAGCTTTGTGGCTTTTGGCATAATTTCCTGGTGATTATAAACGCTTGTTCCGCGGTGAGCTTTCGATGCAGTCGGTTTTATCAAAAGCCCAGTAATTTATGTGCTCCGTCCACCCTATAGTTTGTACTTTATCGGACCGCCGCTGTGTGTTCTCTATCCGATAATGTCTATTATAATTAAATTTATCTTTTCTTATTTGTATGTTTACTCCTTTAGATAAGATGATGCCTCAACTATTGGTGCATTTAGATTGCGGTTCTGCATCGCTCACTAATGATCTTTTGAACTTCGACCGAGACCTTTCGCTCGTCTGAAGCCGTGCATTTGTGAGAAGAAACACTTACCTACTTTAAATAGGCTGTAGGTAAAACAATTTGCTTGTTTTTTTCTCCAAAAAATCCTATTCAGTAATAAAATATATCACACATTAAATAATAACAAATGTATAATTAAGCTTAAGTTTATCAGTATGTTAGTAAGATTAGTGATCATGCATACAATTGACTTACCTGTTGGTTAGAAGTGTTAGTTCTACCGTTGGTCTGAAGATGGACTTTGAGACTTACCTAGGGTCAACGAAGGGTTCGGCGTAGATGTTCCTGACTGGCTGACGGCGGGGTAGAGGCGGCGGCACTGGGCTGAACCCCTCCATCATGTCGTCCCGCTCGCTGTACTTCAGCGATTTCATCGTCATCCTGTCGTGATCCTTATTACTACAGTCCACTTCACAAAACGGTCTCAGGACCCAACATCTCACTAATACATCGTCAGCTTTTATCACTTACATGGTTATTCACACTGTTATCGTTCATTTCTAGTAATTATTAACACTTTTGTTTGTTGTTTTCGGTATTAACATTATCCAATTCACTGTGTTTTTTTTCGTTTCTGTAATGCGGATTGTTTTTGTGGTAGCGTACTTGAGAGTATAGTGCTTCGTCATGCGGAGTACCACACGGCGTGCGTGTACGCGGTCGACTGACGGCTGTGGAGCCCGCGCCCCGACCCTCGGCCCGGGAACCTTACAAGCTTTTGTCGTTTTTTGCGCCGGTGTAGAGGTGCCATCAAAGCTTGGTGAGTTATTAGACGAGGGAACAAAAAACTTGAACCATGCGCAAGGACCACATAGTGTATGGCGACCCAACCGAACGTAAAGCTCGTAGGTACATTACTTAGGATCGACCAACTTGTAATCGAATGGATGCGGTTAAATTTTCTTTTATGTTTTTATTGGGACAACTGGTGTGAAGTGTGAATAACTTTTTTTCTTATTCGAATCAATAGGGAGAGCCCTTTGCGACTTGCCGCATTTGGCTAAAGGTTTTTTTACTATATGAATACTAATAAATATTTGCCGTTATAAATGACAAGTTTAGAACTTTTAAGATTTGTGCGACACATCAATAGGTACAGTTCTCGCAAGAAGAAAATTTATCATTCTGCTGTTATATGTAAGATAATTAAGTTTTAAAATGTATTGTAAATATAAAGTCCACATCTCATCATGTCTATAAAATTGACATATATGAGTCCCGTAAGAGAAGTCAATATTTGAGAAATTTTAACATATTGTTCTGAAATCTATAAAAGCTAAAAAATATTGGGTTGACTGTTAAATAAATTCGAATGGAAGAAATACAAGTTAATTCTGGAAATTATCGACGTAAGTCAAGAAAAGAGAAAGCATTTAATCGATACGATTATCGGAAGGATGAGGGTCGGGTCGGCCCGAGCACGGGGTTCCTTCGAATTACAATCGATGGCAAGTGCCGGTTCACGTGGGACTATTTTTCTTACAAAGGTAAGCTTTCTTTTAACAAATATATTTTGTTTCTCTTGTTTATTGTATTGCAAAGCTTAACTTGACTTGTCGCTGCAAACTCTACGTTGTTCGTTGTATGTAAATTATGAGATCTGCATGGATTTATTATACAAAGCATTTCGTGTAGAGCAGTGATAGTTCAAAGACCGCGACGTACCCCATCGAGCGAAGCGGCTGGCTCATCTCGCTGTTTTGCATGTCAAACAATTACCCCAATATACATTGTTCACGACAAATACGAGAGGCGTACACGCGGTAACCCTTTTTTAAATTATTTGTTTTCAAAACTCGTTACCCTTTGCTCAAATTTTTATTTACGATCGCCGGAATTGTGTTACGCGCGTGATTTATAGGATGTTTACTAATTTAACTGCGCCCGTTCCGATGTAACGGATAAAGTACGACCGAAAATGTGACTCTGCGAAAATGTGACGTTCACCAATAGAAAAGGCCGCCGCAAAATTATGTAAAAACCTGTCCTATGGGCCTGAATTATCCCGCAAGGATAAGGAATAAGAATATAAAAGAAGCTTACAGTTTTCCATACGGCTTTTTGGAGAAGGAACGAACGAAAGATTTACATACATACATGCGGGTAAACACGCTCGTTGCCGAAGTGTCTCCGAGTACCTGTATAATAAATTGATTTAAGCGCCTCCTGACAGGTTTAAGTATGTTTTGACAAACATTAGGGAATTTAAAGCCCCTGTGACAAAACTTTGTTTTGTGTCTCTCGCGCGGCGTCTATCGAGGAGGCACGAAGTGAATTTTGTCTGAGTTAGGAGGAAATTCGCTTTTGTCAACGAACTTCTTTCTAAGGACGCACTTAAACATGGATCATTTGAATAAGTATTCGCTATACTTAAAGCGAGCAAACTTTGATAGAATAGAACACAGTCAGTGGCTAGCTGACTTTTCTATTGATAGAGTTAAGAAATGATACCTACGATTCGAGTTCTTCAGGTCAAATAAAGTAGAAACCTTTTCAAGGATAGAGAGAGCGATGTATACATATTTAATGCAGCAACTTAGTAAACTGCAACAAGCATCGCAAATCGAACAATTTATTATATCAAGTTACACAGAAGAGATCATTTATCTCCTTAATAAAATCGAATAGCATTGTAAATAAGCATTACCATTGCACGAGTATACATTCTGTGCGAAAGTTTATTTATTGCAAATAGAGTACTTCCATTGGATTGTAAGATTTAATAGGGTCAGCAATCATCCTATATCTCTAATGACGACTTTTATGAGGCAATTTTTAAGCTCTGTAAATTTTAATTCAACAGTATCTCAAAATATTATCATAAAACTTTTTACTCATATTTAGGAATGATTTTTTTATTGCCTCTTTTAGTATTTAGGTATTTAAAACTATCCTGTTTCGCAGACTGTGTCCAGTCCAGATCAGACTTCCTATTCTCGAGTCATATCTATGTGACGACATTAGCAAAATCCGTAACGTCTCGCTGCGACGACCGACGGCGACGCCCACGTAATCACCTTATATTTTAAGCTACAAGATATTTATGTTTGTAAGTCTTGTTATTCAGATAGTAAATTTGGTCGCGACCGGAGCTAGTACCGTGTAGTTGTTAGTGGTTTGGTCATATATGGCGAGTAGGAAACGCATCGCAGATCGTTTTCCCATGGCGCAGCGCAGACGCTGAGTGATGTATTCCTGACCGGCCTGATGTATGGCACGGCCTGTTCTTGCACTTGAACTTGCAGTCTCCCGATTGTAACATACAAGCTTTGTTGGTATCTAGATTCATGCTCGGTTATAAGTTGACGAGTACCCGTGCGATCCCACATACACAACTAACGGTTTTTTTAAGTTACTCAGATGTTGAGACAACGTTTAATGGAGCAATGCAGCATGGCACAGACACTCGTTGTTTGTATTTTATGAGCAGTGTAACCCATGTAACAGTTTGAGTGGACTAATAAACACGTTTTCGTCGGCGTATTTACTTGATTTACACAAACATTATGATGGCGCGTCGGCTGTTCGCTTCGAATGTATTAATCTTCGTCCCTTGCTCAAATAAATTTCGACATCCGCAAGTTGATCATAAAAAAAGTCTCAGCTATTTTAATTGGCATAACAGTTTGAAGTTTTTGAGCTCTCGTGTGTGGGTTTATGTCTGTCAGTTCAGTTGCTTCACAGATTGTAGACACGTGCAAGAAGTACGAACCTGCGTGGTTTAATGTTTCTTAGTTAAAGAAATTTATATTTTAGTTTGCTTTCTTTTGATAGAAATTAAAAAAATATTTTAAATTAGAAAGGTTTAATTTACTTCATAATCTGACTAATATATTGATTTTAATGGTTATTGTAAGTTTTGTAGCAATAACTTGTGTAAAAAGTTTTTTAGGGTTTAAAATATCTTTTTTATGCTACCCAGGAGTTGGAGTCAAGTTTTAGAAATACACTAGTTACATTTTAACATTCGCTTTTCAACGAGTACCTAATCTATTGCTGCTACATGATATGTAGTACTTTGTAAGTGTGCACAAGCGATTAATTATTAGACGAAAGCGGAAATTCATTAAACATCCCGAGTTTTAGTACGCCAGAACAAACACGCGTAAGAGCTAAGAAATTTAGATTAATTATCACATCTCGGCATATTTGCTCATTGATTACCTGCCACTGCTGGCAGCCGTGTAGTGTTGCAGTGCGTGTATGTGGAGCACGTTTCCGAAGATAAAAGACGATATTGATTCCGTGACGAGGCTCTGTGGGAAACGATTCCTGCACGTTTAACGGACGCCCCGAGGATAGGAGCACATGAGCACTCTTTGTTCGACGAAAATCATTAAAAACCCTTACGGGGTACGGTTTGAAGCTGTGTATTTTTTTATATACGAGTATTATTCGCGCTTTATTTTTAGAGGTTAGTCTAAATTGTATATTTACTACATGAGTCTTACCTCCGCTCTCGGACGGTTCAGAAGATAGACAGAAGAAAGGAAAATGGGGATAAAAACGAAGGGGGGGGGGGGGGGGGGGGGTAGAGGGTACCTTTTATGCATAACGCTTTATCAAGCTTCTAGATATCCAATATTCTTAATTTAGTGGTACACAATTGTTAACTACTACCTTACTGTGTAGTTATGTAGTTAAATAAAACTAGTTTAAACGGGATAATGCACGAAACTTTATTTATTTATTGACGTTTCGTAGCCTTTCCAGGCTTCGTCGTCAGAATAAAACTTTTGTTTAATTTGTCGAGCTACCTTCGAAAGACTTTTAAAAGACTTTTAATTTGTCGAGCTACCTTCGAAAGACTTTTAAAAGACTTTTAAAAGTCTTTCGAAGGTAGCTCGACAAATTAAACAAAAGTTTTATTCTGACGACGAAGCCTGGAAAGGCTACGAAACGTCAATAAATAAATAAAGTTTCGTGCATTATCCCGTTTAAACTAGTTTTATTTAATGAGTGATGTGCGTGAAAACCTAAGAAACAAATATGTAGTTAAATTTCGAATGCAGAGTTGAATGTGTAAAGTGTAGGAGTTTATAATGTTTGCGATTGTAATTAACGAGTTGGGGGTGCCATAGCGGGCACTTCGTCCGTAGTTGGTCTGGTCGCATTCCCGCCAGGCAGGTAATTACGCTCGTCCCGCTCCCAACGTTCTAAGCCGCTGCTCTGACGTTTTATGCCTCATTTCGTAGCATATGATTTGCCACAACTATATTTACTGTAATTATCGTGGGAGCAATCTGCCTTCGGTCGCGTCATCCGTGCGCAAACTGATTTCATTCATTGGATTTTAAAAGTACGACTTTCGTTTTAATATACATATGTATTGAATAATCAAATAACATCATTCTTTATAGATTTCTTTAGCTATGATAATGTAAGTATGTTCGTTTGTTTTTTAACTATTCTATCGGTTTGTGTAAAAATGTTGCCGTGTTGTGAGTGTGTCGGCCGAGAATTGCACCACATCTCTTCGTCTTCTCCTTCAATCCTATGGCCATACTGCGATCACCAACCCGCCTGTTATGCTTGGATATTACCCTAAGATGTTCGTAGAAGAACCAAAGTAATCGATATCGATCGAAGGATTACTCTGCTAAAGTAGCAGTGTGCGGGACACTTAGAGAGAAGAACCTGGGGCAGAAAAGTTTTTGAATAGCGACCAGTCATGGGATGACGCTCAGTGGGCAGGCCCCCTACGAGGTGGACCGACGATCTTGTAAAGGAAGCCGATGGATGCGAGTAGCGCAGGACCGATCGGTGTGGAGATCCTTGGGGGAGGCCTATGCATAGCAGTATAGTTCGGCTATTATGATGGTGATGATGTTGTGTAAAACTTTAATGTACGCATATTTGTTGCTTTTGTTGATCAAATATGAGTAAGTATTAGAATGATATTAATATTAGCGACTTCCCCGGTTTTCCTACAGGAACAAATTAAATTTTCGACGGTGTAACCGGAAAAAGCCAGCGTACCGTCGTCGTCGTTTGAGCCGGCTTCCTTATGTAAAATCGATGCACACCTCGCTCCTATTGCAGATTAGTTTTTACAACTTCCTCCTCAGTAAATGGCAAATGTCTTTTATACTGATAAAAGCTGTTTAACAGCAATATATTACGAAAAGTAATCACTTCTCTTTTTGTTATGGATAATCAATACATTAGAATCTAAGTTGGTCTTGCCACGTTATATTATATTAGGTTCAAACTTCAAATATTATTCGTCCAAGATGTGTATGTATTTCCTTTAAATCAACAGGATGTTTGCACCAACTAATATTAATTATGATCTTCCAGTACTTTCATGCCTGTGAATTATTGAAATGTCCAAACAGAACTCGAAATACTAAC